TAAACGCTTCAAATTATTTATCTCAATGTAAAAAGGAGCGACGCTAGAATTTTCGATGGAAAAAAATTGTTTTTTTAAATTTGAGGTTTTTTCTATATAATATTTACATTGTTTTAATTATAAAATGATAAACAATCGTTTATGATAAATTTAACGATTAAATTTTTTTCTATTAATTTTTAACAAAAAATGAGTAAGACATTGTTTTATATCCGATAGCCTTTTATCACAGTTTTTGCGCCTTTCGCACTCACTATTTGAATTTAATACCGGTTTCAGTCGCCATGTTCTGCCGCTCCTTCTGTATATTTTGAAAAAAGAATTATTGTAAAACTGATTTTTCCCTTATGTTAATCGTTTTAATTGAAAAATCTTTAATTTTAAAAGATTTTAATTTTATAAAACACTTATCGCTGACATTTCACACTGCTTTTTCTATTTTTGTAACAGAGGCTGTAATTATTTCACATTTGGTTAATATCAATTACTTTCATTTTATTCGTGAGATTATATGTTCAGTCTCATTTGAAGGATTTGACATAATCATTGACAAAATAATCAAATATAGAATGTTTTACTTATTACTTCACCAATTGATATATTAAAAATATTTTCTTTCTCTAATCTCTTATGTGAACAGTGAATTCATTTTACTATGCAACATATTATTAACATAAATACTATTTCCTATAATTTCTATTACAGATATTAATAGGTTTTGGCTACAATATTAACGTAAACTTCTCATAGCTTTAATTTTAACGTAATTAGAAAATTAAGTTACAATGTCTTAATAAGTAAAAATTTACTTTGTCTATATTAAAAATATTTTAAAAACGATAATATAAATATTATTATATCTTCGGTGAATAATAAATAGATGACATAATCACTAGTGATTTTATGAAAGTCTTGTTTATTACATTAATATTTACTTATGATTACTTTGTTAATACAAATCAAGGAATGTAAGTAAATGAAAATTAAAAAAATGTTATATATCGGTTCTAAGGTTATTATTAATGTAAATATAAAATTTTAATATGTAATATGTTCTTCAATAAAATTTATTATAATAATTACTAAAATAAAAATATAACATTATAAATGATTGAATAATTTATTACATCACTTTAATTATTTTAATATTTCAGTTAGTAATAAATAATTATAATTAAAATTATAGCAAATAATTCCAATTTAAAATTACAAATTTTATAATATATTACGTCGTCAAAATTTCACGAATCAAAAACATGTTTTCATAAATTTATAATAATTAACTATTGCAGTATTAAACGAAAATATTATTGACAGTTTAAAAAATTATTGGAAAGAAAATTTTTGTTAAATTTTTTATATTTTTGCAAGTTAATTGAAATTTTTTTTTTTTGCAAGTTAATTGTTAAAAATATCGAAAAATAATATAATAACTCTTTAACGTGGCTAATAAAGTTTTTATATAACTTATCTAAAAATGTTATAGTTGCAGAAATATGACATTTTTTTAATGTTTTATACATGAAAAAATAATAAATTCAAATTTCAAAATATTGTAAATAATTATAAACGAATTTTCAATATAATTTTTTAGTTGAATATAAATATAAATTATCGAGGTATATTTTTCTTAAAAATTTTATTATTTCTTCGGTATATACATATTAATTTATAAAATTAATGGTAACAAGTCTATTAAATTGGTTAAATTAAGTAGATTAAATAAATAAAAAAATCTTATTAACATCCTAGCAATCTTTCATAAAATAAATGAACAAATTAAAACATTTATGTCGCAAAAAAGTACTTACAAATCTATTTAAAATTTTGATATCTTCCAGTATAATTTATTAATTTTAATATAACATTGTCTTTAAGTATTATTGGCTTTGACTTTTCAACTATTAATTGTAAATATATATTTATATTAAAATAAAACATAATATATTCTATCGTACAAGATGTACATATTATTGAATTAATAAAGATTATGTGTCAATTAATAAAAATGGTAAATTAAATGAAAATATTCTGCAAAATAAATATTAAATTTCATTTGGCCTATAAGTTGCAGAAGAATGTTCGATAATAATTTTTAATTAAAATAAATTTCAATATGAGAATTTAGAAAAAAAGCATACAAAAACAGAAAATTCCTTGACCTACGAATGCATGGAACATACATGCAAATCGTTATGTATAGACAATAAAGAGAACTGTGACGTCAGCAATCCCTTGATATAACGAGGGCAATAATAATCCATATAAATAGAATAAAAACATCATCTGCCCACATCAACTTTGATATTCAATCAAAATAATTTTGTGATCCCACCTGTTAGCGACATACAGTTTTACAATTCTTCTAATAATGATAAAAATCGGCTTCGTGTTTATATGAAAACATAATAAATAACCAGAAAATTAAGTAAAAACGAAAGCCCAATTACTTTTTTAGTTGAAATTCTCTATGTACTCTATAGACTAAAATTTTAAGAATGTCATTAACATAGATAGTACGTGTATAAAATTGGTATTTACTGTCTTTGCTCAATTCATACAAGGAAATAACAGACAAATTTATATCTAAGTTAATTCAGAAGATTTACTAATATCCAATAATTATAGATTTTCTGTACATTAACGATTTAATTTAAAAATAATTTAAAGACAAAAATATTAGATAATATTTTACTATTGATTGTTGAAAAATAATTTTAACTCTACTTGTAATAATACAAAATACTTTATGAAAACGAAACTGTAGCTTTACTAATGATTAGAAAATTAAAAAAAAATCTATTTAATTAGAAATTAATCTGCCTAAGAAAGCATAAAATATTAAAATGTAAATATATAAATTTTTTCATTTTACTAGATTAGAAAATAAAAAGTAAATATTATGTATTATTATAATTATTAATTATTATGTATTCATTATAATTTGCCATTTTATTGCCAATATTGCCAATTTTATTGTACAATGTAAATTATAAAATAATTTAGATTCTTCCTTATTGCCTTGAGTATATTTTTAAAAAAGTTAAACTTTATTATATTAATCAATTACGTCGAATATTTTGCTTCATTTTTTAAATTCGGCTTTATCTAGAATATGACTTTCTTATATTTTCATTTTTTAAAAATATTAAATAATTTATTACAGGATAAAGGCATAATTTTACGGAATATTAATTTTCGCTTTTATAATAGAAAATAAAACATAATAGATGCAATTTAATATTACGTGATACCGAAGCATAATCAGATTACATAAAAAAATTTGATTACCTTTCACATCTAACATTTTACATGTATTACTATTTACAGCTATTGAATTATTATTTAAAAACTTAGAATTAATTTGCATGCGCTTATGTTGAAAATATTCAAATATTTTAATTAGAATTACAGAAAAATACCCTCATTCCTGAATAATTGAAATAAATTACAAAACGTTTAGTAAAACCTAAAAAGATGCAGTATAAGTTAATTACAAAGAAAATTTCTATAAACATTCATTATTTATTTTAGAAAATTTACAGCCCGAAAGCGTGAATATAAAATTCTGATTGCTTATAATAATATATAATAATTAATTCACGTAACATTAATTCTTACTTTATTAAACAAATTAATTTGTTCAAAAATACTAATATTATAAAGATTATATATATTATCTACTTATAATTTATTTCACTTTATACAGATAGAAATTTTCAGAATAATATAAATGTAGAAATCCAATATTTTTAAGAATAACTGTGTACTCAAGGTTTTAAGATTTACTCTTGTATTAGTGGACAACTAAATATATACATTTTCTATGTTATATTATATTTGTATTTATAAATCATTATATTATATAATGATTTATATATATTTTATATATATTTTATATATTTTATTTTTATTTTATTATTTATTTATTTATATATTTATATATATAATATGTAAATATATATTATAATAAATAAATAAATATAAATGACATATATAATATATTTATATATTTAATAATAATTTATTATTAAATAAATATAATAAATATTTATATTTATTATATATTAAATATAAATAACTATTTTATATATATTTAAATATTTTTGTATATATCATTTTAATTCACTACTAATTTAAATTATCATATATTGTCCGTTAACTCTATTTTATTTTAAAACAAATTTAATTTATAAAACTTTTATTCCAAAAAGTATACTATTAAATATTTTAATATTTTTATAATAATTAATATTCAATCTGTAAGTTGTAAATTAGCTGTTAAGTTTATCTGTTTCTTATTTTGTATGCGATCTATTTACTTTTTATTTATTATTGCAAACTTCATTAAAATTTTTTTATTGATATTCTTAAAATCGTTTGTTAAAAGTGTAAATTTGATAATAATCGAATCATTGCATAATAAAAGCTTAGAATGATGTAAATTATATTGAATTTCTAAAATCTTTCAAATATTTAATTATCCTCTAGAGTATTATATCGAATGATTGTTCACTAAAATAATTGTATTTCATTTTAAAAACAGAACCTACGTAAAAATAGTTTTATTTTTATTATATTTATTAAATATATATACAAATATATATATATATATATATAGCTTTACTATCTTCTTCAAATATTTGTATATATATTTAAAATATATATCCATTGAAATTGATTTCACTTTCTGTATTATTTTAAAATTTATTTAGTTATTGACGAATTTTCTTCTTTTTTAATGATTAAGATTATTATGATTAATAATGTATTATCATCATAGTTATCACACTTCTCTTAATTCATTTGACTGTTACACATAAAACATTTAAATAATAAGAAATTTTTGCATACTAGAAAATTATTTCACCTCCAAATAAAAGAATTAGATGATGAAATTTGTGTAATAAAATTACAGAACGTGATTAAATAACAGTGAAAATTTAAATCAAACATTATAAACAGAAAGAAATTGTTAATTAATATTAATTCAAACATTTCAAGTTCGATTGCTTTCGAAGAAAAAGCAGATCAAAGTCAACGGCGCAGCATTATTACATAGGTAAGCAAAACGTAATACATAAGTTCAAATAAAATTCATATTCACATGTCTTTAATTTTTCTTAAAAATTCTTTTAAATTGAAATTACAATTATCAAACGCAAATACTTATTCGGTATTTGAAAGTGAATTAAGGAAAATTTTCTTCATTTAACCATTTTACATAAATTAAATTTTATAAAATAGTATTTTAATTTAATACCTAGAAGTAAGTATTAATAATATAAAGTTTAGATGCCTTTATATTGTATCATATAATTTAATATATTTAATAAAAATTCAAATATATTGTATTTCTTATAATCTTATTCTCAATGCATATATTTCCGCTATTTAATAGAATAAAATATACATGATTATTTTACGAATTTGATCAAATTTCGTTTATTCGGAATAATAAGGAATTATTAACAAATTCATTATTTATTAATTATATGGTATAAGTAATTTCTTTGAAGTTTGTGAAGAAACAATATATATATATATATATATATATATATATAGTGATTGCGAGTGATAGTGAGAGCGCAAAATAATTTGCAACTCGTTCATAAATATAACTTATAAAAATTATATGAAATTATATATAATATACAAATATTATTATTTACATCATATATTAGATGTATAACTATTGTTCAATCAATTTTCATATTAAATTCATAAAGGCTGGTCGTTAATATAGCTATATTAACGACCAAACAGCTCCATGCATATACACAGGCATGTACTACACATATACAAAATATATTTATAATTGTAGATTTTTAAAATAATGAGAATTTACTTACGAAGTTTGACATAAATTGCAGTATTTTTTTTACCAATAAGTCTAATAATAATCTCCTTATAATTTAACTATTTTAATATTGTATAATTTTATACAATAAATTATTGTTAAACTAACAGCACAAAAAAAATCCAAATTAGCAAATTTTCTTGCAAATAATATACACTTATACATGTAGTAGATACTTAACATTGAATTTTTAACTTTGATGCTCATTAACTTCCTTCCATTTTATCCTCACTCTTCTAATTATCAGCATTTTTGTTAAGGTATAATAAATGTAGGCTAACAGTAATAGTTGTCGTTATAATTTTTCCGTTTTACTTATTTCCATACATTCCTCTAATCCAATTGCAAGGTCATTTGCAATAGCAGTGATAAAGTAATCCTCTCATTCTGTCTCTCATAACTGACACAGCGCGGCAAGTGCGTTTGAGACGTTATGTAATTCAAGCATTCGTTATAGATGTGAGACGAAGTGCAACGAGGTGAATTCAAGCTTCAAGCACATCCGATCGACCTTGTCAAGTCAACGCAAGAATATCTTGCATATGTACTCTCCTCCCCCTTTCCGAATAAACGTGTATACGTGTGTGTGTGTGTGTGTGTGTAGCTTAAACTAAAACTACCTATCGTCTTCATTGTTTTCATCGTTTATGTGGGTTTAAAAATCAATTTATGGAGAAACTAGATCAATTTAGCTGTATGTAATTGAACAGTAAATCAGAAAACTGTCGTGAAAATTTGGATGGAAATTATTTCATTTCCTCTATTTGTACTTGACTCCTTTTATGAAATGTTAAATCATAAATTACCAATGCTATAATTATACGAAAGTTGTAGAAATGTTTTAGAAAAATATTATGGTTATTTGACATTTAGATACCTTTTAGATATTTTCTATCTAATATATGATTCTGAGTCAAGTAAATTTTAATATAAATAATTTCTTACGATAACATTATTGAATAAACATTGTAATCTTAGGTTTTGACCTCCATAGATTTACATATATCGTCATATAGTGCTGTATTTTAAAGTAAATATTTTATTGTATATATTATATTATATTGTCTTTTTATAAAAGTCAAATAAATATTCTTCTAATATTTTTAGATCTATATATATATGTATATATATATATATATGTATGTATATATATATATTAAAACTAATTTAATTACCTCTATATTTTTTTAACAATCGTTTATTTGCTTCTCTTCTGATATTTTATTGGGTTGACGAGACTCTCGCGCAACAATACCTCAGGTCTTGTAATATTAAACAGTACATTGTGATGTTAAAATTTTCCAATAATTTTGCTTCGGCAGAAATACATCTCCCTACTTTAAATATAAAAACTTCATTTTTGTGTAAGTATTCACAAATTTATTCTTTTATAATGGTTAATATGTGCCATTTGTGCCTAAATTCTGTAACACTGAAATATAAAAGCAACCTTTAAATATGTATAGTTTTCCCTTTCATTAACATTCATTTTTAAATATAATCTATTTCTTATTTCTTTCTCCTTACTAGTAAACAATTGCAGGCTACATTGTTGAATTTCTCTTTAGAAACAATAATTTTTTATTTTATATTTAAATGGTAATATTATTTGTATTAAAACATTTATTTAGCAATCTCATTATTTATTTCTTATTAGTATTATGATAATTTATATATAAAATATTATAAGGATATATTTTATTTTCATATTACAATGTTATGTTTAGATGAAAAAAGTATTTATTTAATAAAAATAATCAGCATAGGCTATTATGAATTGACTAAAAATATATAGTATAAAGTTAAATCGAAGATATAAACTATGAAATATGTGGGATTATACATTATATTTTACAAATAATTATTGATTATTAATTGGTTTAAAAACTAAAAACTAAACATTTTCAATATTGAGATAAAGTTTTATCATATATCGTTTATAATTTACTAACCCGATGTTTTATTCTATTTATGTTAAAATAATATAAAATAAATAAATGCGGAGCGAACGATAAAAAAAATTGTTCTTTAAAATTTATTATTAAAGTTTATTAAAGTTTTTAAATTTTAATACAGATTTTTGTAACGCAAATCATAAAAAAGGCATTGTAAAGCTATAATTGATGATCGAAATTGTATGTAGTAGGAATATATGATAGGATAAAATAATCTTATCTCCTACAATGCATAAAATATACATAAAATAATTATATAAAAAGAAATTTCAGATTCCTCTGCTCCTACTATTTTTTAACTAAAAGGATGCGTAAAAAAAAATAAAATAATAATGTCACGATGAAATTTTCAATCAGATAAAAAAAAAAGTTGTGAAATTATATTGCCGCTATGCACAAGGATGGGTCGAAATATTCATCATTTGTACTCTTTCTTTAGTCGTTGGAAATACTGAAAGATACGAGTGCATAAGTTGCTGAGATAAGAGAAAAAAAATTTATGCAAAGGGAGAATGACATCTACCGAATGTAATTGAAGTTAAAAAACAAATCAACAATTAAAATTATGCACAAAATAGAGTTTTCAACTTACACTGTCTTAATGTTTAACTAAGTTTTAATTTGAAATTTCTACAAATAATCTTTTTGCACTTGATAGTACAGTATGTCTCAAAGGGCTTTCCGCTTCTATCATTATTTTTCGAAAATAAACATAATCTACTTTTCGCCTGAAATCAACATTCCTGTAAAATAGAAAGAATAAGTATTCTATTAATGAAATAAAGATATTACTTATGTATATTTGTAATTACAGACAAATTTTCTTTTACTCTCCGAATTTAAAGCTAGATAAAATGTACGATTAACAATAATAATAATAATAATAATATTTTAACCGCAGTGTTTTAATTAAATGTAACTATAATAAAATTACATTTAGATTAAGATATATAGAATTATAAACTATGGAACAAAAAATTATAGAAAAATTAAAAAATTGAATATAAAATGTTTTATAATATGTAATTATAACATTTTTAAAACTTGGTTATTGATTTTTAAATACTTCATATCATTATATAAACATTAAAGTTCGTGAATAAAATATAAAAAAAGTAATAATAATAATAATACGAAAGAAAGAATTTATCGATTTGTACGAATTGCATTTTGAACTACTTATAAACTATTGTATAAAAGTGGCTTCTCGGTAATCCATACAATTAAAAACAATTTACTTTAAAGAAAAATTATTTAATATTTATAATATAATATCTATACATTTACTTTAATATTATTCTTCGTTAGAAAATTACATAAATTATTTATTTCTATCAATCAAGCCTTTTATGCTACGACGCTAGGATCAGATCTAATTTTTTTAATAAACTTAAAAATTACATTAACTTTATGTAAGTACATCTTTGGTAGGCATTAAAATTCATAAGAGATATTATAATTTAATCATATTATTATTAAATTATTATTATTGAAATGACATTACCACTAGTATTCTCTATTTATTATGATATATTTATACATGGACCAACGAATATGAATGAGAATACATTCAAAAGCCCATTACATATAATTTTTAAATTTGAAATTCTATATTGTTATACTGCAGAATTTCGTCTATATATATATATATATATATATATATATATATATATATATATATATATATCTATTTTGTATATATTTTCGTTTTTCTTAAACGCTTTAAAATAACGTAATTTCATGAATATTTTAATTAAAATTATTCGTTTTGTAAAAGCAAAATATGGCCATTCGGTATCCCATATCCCGTACGTAATACCATAGCACAGAAACGTACGCGTTGTCAGTAGACCGGAAATCAATGGGAATTCAAGTGCATTCAATTTCAGAATTTTATATGACAAAGCTGCTTGCCTAGTAGACTCTGATCATCGATGATGAAAACGAAAGTTAGTATTTGCATGACAATGTAAATGCATCTGCAATTGTAATAGAACCTGAGGTTTAATCTTTAAAAACAGACTGTTTATATTTTTTTAACAAAATTAAAAAAAAAAATAGGTGTAAGGAAATGGAAACTAATGACTTTATGAAAATTCTAAAGTTCATTTAATTTGAATGAATGCTGTACCTGTAGAAAAAATATACCTCTATTTAAAAATTCAGTTTGAAATTTATTTAAAGTCAACTTCAAAATCAACAAAATGTAAAATATATGCTAACCAAATTTTAAATATGATAAACATA